TGGGGGCAGGAGGCTATTGGGCCCCATTGGCATAGGACTCAACAGGAGGGTCTTGGGGGAAACTCGAGAAGAGTCCATTTCCTATGGTGTTTCACCCCAAAAGAGGCTGGAGAGGTCTGGTTGACTGTGGTTGGGTACCAATTAGCATGCTGGCAACCAAACCCTCCCTGAGGCTATATCCTGGAGATTTAGTTTCCTAGTTTTATACCAACTTTCTGATACCTCCAGGATACTGGCTGATTCAGTCTGACCCTGGCAAGGGAAAGAGAATAATGCACAGCTTGATGCTGGTCTTTTTTTTTTTTTTTTTTTAAGAAAGGAAGAGACTAGGTTGCCAGGGGATAATACCTTGAGAAGGGCAAGAACAAATTTGAGAGTCATGTCATTGTATTTCATTACTGGTACAAGAAAGGAGAATGCCTCTTCCCCCAACATAAAAGAGTATGAGAACACTCAGTAGGTGTGCTTGATGTCTGCAAAAAAATGGACAGAATCCTTGCTTCTTGCTCTGTTCACAAGGAGCATGCACAGGGTTCATCTCAACAGTTCCCTGTTCTAATTCCACTATTTACACAAAAGCAGTATAATCATCTACAAGGTAAATAAGGATTCCCCTGGAGCAGTGTCTCTCACACACATGAATTATAGAGTACACACTTGGACAGCTTCAGGAGAGAACTATCTAATATGTAAAATAAGCAATGTAAAGTGGGGTATGGTGGCATAGGCCAGCAATCCCAGCTACTTGGAACACTGAGGCAGGAGGATCCCAAGTTTGAGGCCAGCCTTGGCAATTCACCAACACCGTCAGCCACTTAGCGAGACCCTGTCTCAAACTAAATAATTAAAAAGGCTGGAGATGTAGTTTAGTGGTAAAGTGCCCCTGGGTTCAATCCCCAGGACCAGGGTGGAAGTGGGGGTGAATGAAGCAGCAATGTTAAATATGTTTAAAATTGTTTAAATGTAAATGCCATCTTCCTCGGAATTTTCCTTAAGAACAAGGTCTCATTTTCAGCATCTAGAAATTACACCCCAAAGTAGTTAGCATTTACTGAGGACTCTGTGGAAAGCACTGAGCTAAGAGTTCTGTTTAAGTGACCCAGTGCTTAGCTGAAGCTACTCAGTACATATTTTTCAAAAAGTTTGGAAAAAATACCATCAAGCCGGGCATGGTGGCACATGCCTGTAATCCCAGTGGCTTGGGAGACTGAGGCAGGAGGATCTGGAGTTCAAAGCCAACCTCAGCAAAAGTGAGGAGTTAAGCAACTCAGTGAGACCCTATCTCTAAATCAAATACAAAAAATAGGGCTGGGGATGTGGCTAAGAGTTCAAGTGCCCCAGGGGTCAATCCCTGGTATACCAAAAAAAAAAAACAAAAAAACCCCAAAACTATTGAAGAAATTTTTTCTTTGATAGTTTTCTCTTCCATGCAAGAAGAAAAAACTATAAATATTCTTTGTGAATATAGTGCAATGATCCTTTGAAAATATTAGCAAATTGAATCCTACAATTTATAAAAAAAACTAATGTCATAACCAAGTGAGGTTTACCTCAGGAATGCAAAGATGATTAAGTTTTTGAAAACCAATCCTTGTAAGCTACTGTCTTAACACAGTAAAGGAAAAAAAAAATCACATCAGTCCAATTGATGGACAAAATATGTCTGACAGGATTCAACACCTTTTCCTGATAAAAACAAAACAAAAATAAAACAAGCTCAGGAAACCAGGAGGATAGGGGAACTTCCTCAAGTCAGGATATCTACTGACAAATCATAATTCATTCTGAAAGACTGAATACTTTCCTCCCCAAGATCAGGAACAAAACAGGGATGCTCATCTTGCCATTTCTTTTTTCTTTTTATATTAACATTTAAAATTTTTTTCAGAAGAATGCATTTCGTTTCATCGTACACAAACAGAGCAAAACTTTTCATTTCTCTGGTTGTTCTTGATCTCCTTGCCATTTCTATTCTATATTGTACTGGAGTCCTAAACAGTGCAATAAGGTGAGGAAAACAGAGGCATTCAGATTGGAAAGGGGAAAGTAAAGTGTCTCTGTTAGCATAGCATGATTGTTATATAGATAATCTTAAGAAATCTACAAAACAACTACTAGAACTGTAAGTGAACTTAGCAAGGTCATAAACTAAGTCATAAACTATTAAGTCAGTGTACAAAATCAATTATGCTTCTCTTTAGTGGTGGCAAATATTTGAAAAATGAAATCATTTCACTTGTAGTATAAAAAACAAAATATTTAGAAATAAAAAGATATGGAAAAACTTTGTTGAAAATGACAATTTTTTTAAAAAACTGGAATAAATGGAGTACTGTCATATTTATGGGTTCCCAGTTCCTGGGGAAACACCAACCACTGCTCTTGCCAGTTAGAAATCTCTTCCCACTATAAATGCATCCCTTCATTTGCTTTTGCTGTATTCAAATATATTTCTTCAACTTCTCCCTTTACCCAAGAGATTCTCTCAATCTATTCTTTCATTGTCTGTCAATATTGTTTTCTTTCTGTGCTGAGGATTAACCCAGGGGTGCTCTACCACTGAGCTACATCCCAGTCCTTTAAAAAATTATTTATTTTTACCATTTAAATTTTTGTGTGTGTGTGCTTCTGAGGATTGAACTCACATCTTTATGCAGGTTAGTCAAGTGCTCTACAACTGAGCTACATTCCCAGCCTTATTTTTTATTTTTTGAGACAGGGTCTCACTAAGTGCCCAGGCTGGCTTCAAACCTGAGATCCTCTGCCTCAACCTCCTGAGTCACTGGGATTACAGGCACATGCCACTGTGCATGGCCATCTGTCTTTAAAAACGCAACAGGGTCAGGCCAGGCATGGTGGTACATGCCTTTGATCCCAGCAAGGCTGAGGCAAGAGGATCACAAATTTAAAGTCAGCCTCAGCAACTAAGCAAGGCCATAAGCAAATTAGCGAGACCCTGTTTCAAAATAAATGGACAACTAGGGCTGGGGGTATAGCTCAGTTGTTAGAGTGCTTGCCTCGCATGCATAAGGCCCTGGGTTCAATCCCCAGCAACACACACACACAAATAAATAAATAAATGGAAAACTAAAGTTAAACCTTTGTTCTTGGAAAAATAAAAATAAAAAATAATAAAAATTAAGCAGGGCTGGGGACCTGGCTCAGTAGTTAAGTGCTCTGGGTTCAATTCCCAGGACCAAAACAAACACAGACACAGACACACACACACACACACACAAAACTGAACTCACTTTCCACAGATAAACTGCATAAGAATTACCTGAAATTCTTATTAAAAATGTTAATTTCTGGGCTGGGGATATAGCTCAGTTTGTAGAATGTGCCTGGCATGCACAAGGCACTGGGTTTAATCCCCAGCACTGGAAAAAAAAAAAAAAAAACACTGTTGATTTCTGGTTTTATACTTAGACCTTTTGGGACCAGAGTTTCTGGAAATGGGGCAGGGAATCTGCATTTTTAACATAGCCTTCTCACAAGCCTCATGCACTGGGGTTTAGTGTGAATTCATCATTTAACCAACATGTTTTGAGAGCTGTCCCATTGCGTTTGGTGTAAGTCTCTATTCTAGGAATTATATACACGTATGTGTAATGTTTTTGTTTCTTTTGGAGAGCTTGTTTCTTATATTACCTTTCTATTGCCAGAGCCTATCACAGGACTTGTGATGCAGTAAATCTTCCTGAAATGATGTTGATATTTGAATCTAGAGTTTGTAGAAGATCCTAAGAACCATATGGGATTGCTCACATAGTTTCAGTCTAATAAGGGATGTAATATATTGGAAAGTTAAAATTTACAGATAGTCTGTTTCCTAAAATAGTATATGCTTAGATACTAAAAGGGGATGGACTCAATGGAGCTCAGAACAGCAAGAGTGTTTTGTGAAAAAGGACAGGTAAGTAGGCATTGGGAGGAAGAGGATATCTTAACTGGGTGGTTATGGGATGGGATATCCAATGGATATGGGAACAAAACCAGTAGGTTTAGGGATTGGGGATGTGGCTCAAGTGGTAGCGCGCTCGCCTGGCATGCGTGTGGCCCAGGTTCGATCCTCAGCACCACATACAAAGATGTTGTGTCCGCCGATAATAAAAAAAAAAAAAAACAGTAGGTTTAGGAGTCAGTGGCTGATGCCCTAGTTATAAAGGGAATGGTAGAAAATATTTATAAAGGAGGTCGTGAATGTATTGTGGAGAGTCCTAATTTACATTAGGCTGTGAGTGATCCGAAGAAAATGACATTTTAGGATGATCAAGCTGTCAGTTACAATAGCAGTTAAAAATAAGTAGCTTACGACACTACATATAACCAAACTTGGAATTCCAAAATGAGAGAACCTCAGGGACAGTTGAGGTGAACTGTATTTTAGATCAGGTAGAAACTAAAATTCGTAGACAGGTGCTGATCACCAAAGAATTCGCTTAGCTGTCAGATACTTACTAGTGGTAGGAACTTAGGAGGCTCCATATTCTGCCCCCAATCGCTGTCCTAAGGCCTCAGGCCAGTCGCCCTACCCTTCTAATGACGGCTGTCATTTATGTAGCAATAAATGTGCTGAGCGCTTTACGGACGCCCTCTCATTTAATTTGCCAAACTCCTCTGTAAGGTAGAGGTTATCCTGCTCATTTACTGGCAAGGAGACTGTGCCGAGGTTCGCCACATCAACAGCCTGGACGCAGCAAAGATGTAAACCCAGAGCTGAAGAAGGGCTGAGCAAGAAGTGGGGAAGACGAGCTTCGTGTGACTCAGAGGGATCCCGGGGAAAGGCAAGGGAAGCGGGGCTCAGGAAACACGGCTCTCCTTCAGGACTCCGCAGAACCGCGGGCCGAGTGAAAGAGCCTCTCCCGAGCTTACACCTATCAACAGGCCTCCGTTAGGCGCCGTTCCAAAGTCACGACGCGTCTGATTGGTAAGAGCGGAAGGGCTGGCGACTCTGATTGGCTGGTGGGATCTCGAACCAGGCCTTCACCCGGTTACGGAAGCTGACGAGGGCCCAGCGCGGGCTCTACCTCAAGGAAGTTAGCTGCAGAAACCCAGATTGCCGCGGAAAGGAGGTGTCTCGGGTTCAATGGCGACTGAAGAAGCTAGCGGCAGCGATGGGAAAGGGCAGGACGGCGAGAGCTCCGTTACCTATTATCGGTTGGAGGAGGTGACAAAACGCAACTCCTCGAAGGAACTATGGCTGGTGATCCACGGGCGAGTTTACGATATCACCCGCTTCCTCAATGAGGTGGGGCCCGGGAGGTGGGAGGCCCCTGGGAGCTGCTGGGGTGAGGGGTGAAAAGGCTACGCGTAATGTGCGTAGGAAGGAAATGAGGCCTGGCTGAGGGCGATAAGGTGTGTGAAAAGGGCCGCGACACTAATACGGAAGCGGGGGAAAGGGGAGGGGGGGTCTTAGATCTGCATGCGTTTCCACCAGCTCCAAATTCTCACGCCTTACATAATGTCACGTGATACTTATGTATTGACCCTTGCTGTGTACTGTATTAAACTCTAAGCCATCGTTATGTCCATTTTACACAGAGGGAAACTGAGGCTCAGAGATGCTGGGGACTCCCAAGGTCACATCCTTAATGGCCTAGATCCATTTGAACCCAGGTCTGAAATGCTCCGTACCTGTGCTCTTTCCAGTATGCGTTTTGAAGTAATACCGTTTAGGGAGAAGTATTTACTTCTTGAGAAGAAGCTGAGTTTTTTTTTAATTCATAGATTAAGCTGCTGGGACGGACACACACACACACACACACACACACACACACACACAAACCTTGAGTTGACCTTGAGGCAAGAAGGTGGTGAGAACCTTTTTTTTTTTTTGGCCATTGCCTTAGACTTTGTCCCGTAAATCTTCCAACTGTTGTATTGGATCTTATTATACAATCTCTCTTTGAGATCATTGTTTAATGGTTTGTGGCTTTTTTATTTAAAGAAATAGGTCAGACTTTTTCATTTACTTTAACTTTACTGAGATTTAAATTACATATAATAAGTGTGTCCATTTAAAATGTACAGTTTGATGAGTTTTGACACATGTATTTGTTCACGTAATTACAATTTCAGTTAAGAATTAGAGCATTTTCATTACCAGAAAAAAGTTCTCTTGCTCCTTTACAGTTATTCTCCTCAACCCCAGCTAACCACTGTTACGCAGCCAGCAAAGATTAGTTTGTAGCCAGTGAGGGAGGAGAACACCTGTAATCCCAGTTACTTGAGAGGCTGAGACAGGAGGATCACAAGTTTGAGGCCAGCCTGGGCAATTTAGCCAAAGGCTGTCTTAACATAAGGGTTGGGGATATAACTCAATGGTAAAGCACCCCTGGCTTCAATCTCCAGCTGCCAGAAAAAAGAAAAAGAAGATTAGTTTGAGGCTGGCTTTGATGTGAGAGTGTGTAATTTTATATGTATTTGTATAATTTTATTTTGAGTAATAGATTTATAATGCATTTATATCTTGTGATTAATTTCTTGTATTACAATCTTATTCTGAGAAAAAAGTTCAGTTCTGTTCTCTTTCTGAGGCAAATATACTAGTAGAATTTTTTTTTTTCTATTAATTTGGGGGCTACAGGAGAAATTGTTAATTTTTAATTAATAATTTTGTAAGAGGATGTTATTTGTTTTTGTTTTTTAATATCTTTATTTTATTTATTTATTTTATGTGGTGCTGAGGTTCAAACCCAGTGCCTCATGCATGCAAGGCAAGCACTCAACGACTGAGCTGCAACCCCCGCCCAAGAGGATGTTATTTGAATAAGTCTACCTAGTGCATAAGCTAAACTCAAGAATTTAGTAACTTCTTGCATTTGTATTGTATACAGTTGTATTTCCCCCAGTACCAGGGATTGAACCCAGGGCCTTGTGCATGCTAGGAAAGCATTCTGCCACTAAATTACATCTCCAGTCCTTGTTTTTTTTTTTTTTTTTTAATATTCTCAGAACAGCTAGTTGAGAGTGACTTAGATAGGAGTGATCTTTATTTTAACAGGGGTACCAGAAACAGATTCAGGAATTATGGTTGTATAATTGATCCATGACAATCCAGCTTAAATAGATCCCTTGATTTCTCTTTTCTATGTAGTATTCAAATTTTAGCATTAGGTATGTCTTCCAGCATTTGCCTAATAAGTTTTATGTTAAAACAGTTCATAATGGGGGCCTGGGGTCATGGCTCAGCGGTAGAGCACTTGCCTCGCATGTGCAAGGCCCTGGGTTTGATCCTCAGCATCACATAAAAATAAATAAAAGTTATTGTGTACAACTACAAAAAAAAGTAAATATTAAAAAAAAAAATAAACAGTTCATAATGGGTAGGTAGTCATGTTTTTCATTTGTGGTTTCGTTTTCCCAGAATTTCTCCTTGATTGATTTAGAATAGACAGTGAATTTGGAAGGAACACTTAGTGCTTGTAGATAACATTAATCTCAAGTAGTGGTTTCAAACTTGTTACAGTACTTTGCTGATGTAGCTAGCTAGAATGTATGGTATGCAAGGCTTCTGTTGATGCTGGGTTACAGGTCTTTGCTGGCAGTTGGCTATTCTTACTCGTTCTGTAGTCTTTCCCTGTTTTGTTCCTGTCAAGCTCATTCATTCATTCATTCATTCACTTAATCAAATATTTTTTAAATGTTTTTTTAGTTGTTAATGGACCTTTTGTATTTACTTATTTATATTTAATGTGGTACTGAGGATTGAACCCAGTGCGCCTCACATGCTAGGTAAATTCTGCACCACTGAGCCACAACCCAAGCCCCACTTAAACAAATATTAAGCCTTTATTTTGTGCCAGATACCATTCTAGATACTGAGGTTACAGTAGTAAATAAACATGCCCTTATAGAGATTAGTCTGTAGGATGCAGACATTAGGAGGAAGGGTTAATAACCAGAATATATACTATGTTAGATAGTGGTAAGTGCTAAGAGGAAAAATATTTAGGGAAGAAGACTATTGAATGTGTGTGTGTGTGTATGTGGTGAGGAGAGATGGCTTTATGGAGATGACTAGAGTAAAGGCCAAGGAAAGGTAAGGGAGTTATCTACAGGAAGAGCATTCTTGGTAGAGGAAGCAAATCCAAAGGCCTTGAAGTGGTAGTGTGTCTGGTGTGTTTGAGGAATCAGGGAGGCCATAGTGGTTGGTTAGTAGCACATGAGGTCAAAATGATTAGGGAATGGTGGATCATGTACAGCTTTGCAGGTTTTAGGAAGACTGGCTTTTCTTTTGAAAGCAGAAATCATTGGAGCAGAAGCATGACATGATGTGATTTAATGGTTTAATAGGCTCATTCTAACATCACTGTTGAGAAAACAATGAAGGAAAGCAAGGGCAGAATTGAGGAGCACAGTTAGGAAGCTGTTGTAATTAAGGCAAGGAATGGTAGCTTGGACTAGAACTGTGGTCGTGGGGGTAGTGAGAAGTATCAGATTTTGGATGTGTTGGGATGGTAAAGCCAACAGGATTTAATGATGAACTGGATTTGAGAAAAGAAAAAGGAGTCAAGGATGACTTCAAGGTTTTTGGTCTGCTGATCTAGAAGAATAGGGTTGCTATTAAATGAGAAGGGAAAGACCTAACATTGGTTTTCATTCTTTTTACAATTCGAAGTCACTTCCATGCTTCCTTAGACAGAGGTTTATGATCCTAATATTCTACATCTATAGATTGCCATTTTTTAAAGTGAATAGCTGTGATTAGATTATGATACTACTAGAGTTTGTGATAATTTAGAATTGGTAATATAGTTAAATTATCTTTCTCATAGCCAGGCACAGGAGGCTGAAACAGGAGCATCTTGAGTGCGAAGCTAGCCTCAGCAAAAGTGAAGAATTAAGCAATTCAGCAAGTCCCTGTCTCAAAATAAAATACACTCAGTGGTTGAGTGGCCCCTGGGTTCAATCCCCGGTACCAAAAAAAATAAGAGAAAGATACTCATATTTCTGTACATGAATTTAAGTCATGTTAGGTTTAATTATAGATGTACAAAAAGGGTAATATCAAATTTTTTACCAAGCTTGGGTCAGGTTTTGGGAATTAGGATTACTGTGGGAAAATATGAAGCTTATTTTTTTTTTTTTTTTTTTTGGTACCAGGGATTGAACCCAGGGGCATTCAACCACTGAGCCACATCCCAGCCCTATTATGTATTTTATTTTGAGATGGGCTCTGGCTGAGTTGCTTTATTTTATTGAAATCATGAATAAAGATAGTATACATCATTGTCTTTCCACTATTTAGTAGTTTAGGGGAAAAAAATCACATAAATATGGAATTGGATCCTGAGTGTAATGAAAAATCCCTGAAGTATTTTTAAATGAGGGGTGACATTGAAACATTATTTATTTATTTATTTTTAGTATTTATTTTTTAGTTGTAGTTGGACACACTACCTTTATTTTATTTATTTAATTTTATGTGGTGCTAAGGATCAAACCCAAGGCCTTGTACATGCTAGGTGAGCCCTCTGCCACTGAGCCTCAACCTCAGTCCCTGAAACATTATTTTTTGAGTAGATTATTTTTGCTGAAGAGTTGAGAATTAAAGGGAAAAGTATTACAGAGGAAAGAAAGTAAAATTCTTTCAATCTCAAGAATTTATTTGAATCGTATGTCCTCCTTGCATATACCTATATGTAAAAATATGTATAGATACATACATAAAGATCATGTATTCTCTTTTGTGGCATTGGAGATTGAACCCAGGGGCACTTTACCACTGAGCTATATCCCAGCTCTTTTTACTTTTTTTTTTTTTAGAGAGAGAGAGAGAATTATATTTATTTTTTAGTTTTCGGCGGACACAACATCTTTGTTTGTATGTGGTGCTGAGGATTGAACCCGGGCTGCACGCATGCTAGGCGAGCGCGCTACCACTTGAGCCACATCCCCAGCCCTCTTTTTACTTTTTTAAGACAGGATTTCACTATGTTGCTTAGGCTGGTCTCAAACTCTTAGGCTCAAATGATCCTCTTGCCGCAGCCTTTTAAGTATCTGAGACCAGCAGTTAGTCTCTTTTCACATGAAAGGTATACACACTGATTTGTGCTTTGATTTTTTTCACGTAATTATGTTTCAGGGAATTTTTCATATCAGTACCTGGAATTTTCCTTCATTACAGCTAGATAGAATTTATTGTATGGATTATAATTTATTTAGACAGTTTCCTATTGCTAAACATTGTGGTTTATCATTATTTTGCAATCTGCGGTCTCCTCTCAAATCAATTTTACTGAAATC